TAATAATATTGCACGGCTCTAGTCAGCAAACTTCAACATCAAATCAATTTGGTGCATCTTAGAAAGCCAAGAAATAAAAACCATTTAAAAACCATGTGCACATTTGTTTTGTAAACAAAGCTCCTCAACCAATGACAGCGTGTGAAGTGTGTCAAGTGACAAAGACGAGCGTCAACATACTTCGCTAACATGGGCTGATCTGTAACATACTTCAATGTCATAATAAAATTTTGAACAAAAGCAGATAAAACAATGTGTATTTAGAGGATCACTGGAAAATCTCAGATGATTGATGACAACAACATAAAAACCTCCTGAAATTCTGTTCTGGCTTTTGGTGCAGCCCTGCAGGATGTTCACTGAATTACCACTAGGGGGCAGTGGTCAGCTTGACTATAAGAGAAAACTTTCCTGCACTCTAAACCCAGTGCTAATTAATGCTGGTTTACGCATGTGTTGATAAATATATGTATGGGTGAGGGTGTATCTGAATCAACTACACAAACGTGCACGTATTACACATCAGAGTGTGTACCTGCTGCTGTATCTCTGGCTGCAGCGGGTGTTGATGCACTGGGGCAGGGTGTCCTGCAGACTGGGATCAATCACATTCAGACTGACTGGTTCTTGATGCACCTCACAGCTGGGGTTCCTGCACAACAACAACAAAAAAATAAAAAATAAAAAAATAAACAGAGCAAGTGTAAAATTAAAAGCATGGGCACATTTTTTTACACTTTTCTTTTAAAAAAAGTCCCTTTCACAACAAAAACTCACATGAAAACTCAAAAAAAGCAACATCTTCAGAACGTCTGAAAACGCAGCGAGAGAAGACAAAGAAAACTAATAATTGACGTCTTCTCGAGATAAAGGAGGGATCTGAAACACTGACGAGCTGTCAAAGGCAGCTGATGGCCGATGAAAGGATGTGGGCGAAACGAGACAGACGTGATAGACAGACTGGATGATGGACAGATGCAGAGTGGTGGTGCAAAAAAAAAGGGATTAAGTTTGTGAGATAAAGRAAAAAAAGTGTGAAAACACCCACAAACATCCTGAGGAACAGAGGAAGCAGCAAACAGCTCCTGATATCTCYGACCACAACTAGGCTGTAAATCAATTAATCACATAATAAATTAAAATGAGGTTGATTGTTTTCATTTGTCTGCTTGTTTTTTATTCACGTCTCCTTCTTTTCTAGAGTACAGAAATTATGTAAGCATCACATGTGTGTGTGCATTATTACAATAATTTAAAGCGTTCTTCAAATGATATTATTGTTATCGTGACAGACCTTATAAAACAGAAGACAACAATCTGAAGAGAGGGAATTCTAAATAAATAAAGAAAAACTACAAAATATACATTTGAAATCAAAGATAAAATAAAACATAMGATTAGGGAACATTAAAATGGTTTTAGTTGTAAGATGTGCAAAAAGAAAAAGAAAAATCAAGTACAGTGTACAGTTTGTTCTTCAGTTTTGCCAATTTCAAAATAAAATGGCAAAAAGGAAACAGCCGTGTTTTTTTCTGTTTTCAAAACCTAAATGTAAAAACAAACTAAATAAAATAAAATCCACAGTGTTTGTTGTTTCATTTTTGCTTTAGCTATTAAAATTCTACCGTTTTAATATGTAGCTCATCCATCGGAAATGACAAAGTCACCAAAAAAGAGCAGTTTCCAGGACTGCTTATTAACAATAACTGGTTCTAAAGATGTTGGCAACAGCTGCACTCAAATCCAATTCAGAAAAACTTGGAAAATTAAAGCAATTTAGCTCTCAACGTGCATCAACTCCCCCTAAAAAGGCCGTTTCTGAAGTGCAAAGTGAAAACGTAACRAACCAGTAGTTCATTCAACGATGATTTCCAGTTCCACCAGAAAGCAACAAATAGTGCACTAAGAAAATATGAAAGCTGTCTTTGATTTAAGCATTAAAATTAAAAATTAAAAAGTTGTTTTTTTAATTCAGATTTAAAACAAAACTGGAAAAAAAACTAAACAAAACAAAACTAATAGAT